TTATTCTGAACAACTTTACTTACTACGCCAAGTTTAATTTTTTTATTAAAAAAATAAGTTACATATGTGGCTACGATCATCATTAGGTAACGCGATTATCAAAATTCCCATGATTTTTGGTAGGGGAGTACACAAATCTTGCACTCCCAATTTTGGGTATACGTATAAAAATTTTTGATGACCATTCAAATATGCAAATTATGGATTGGCTAGTAAACGTGACAGTGCTTATTTATTATAAAATAAAAATTGCAGTTGATACTTGAGCAATTTATTAATATTTTTTCATTTATCAAATATAGGTTTAGGTCTTCGTCTGTATTTGATTGTTGCAAAATATGTAGTAGAATTTGTTTTTAGTTAAAAAATGGTAAGCATCCGTAATTGCTTTTTCGGCTTTCCGATATTTATTTTTCATAAAATAATAATTCGTTGATGATGAGAGTTGGATCCATGACAAAGTTACTTGAGTAGTCTTTTCGAATATTTAATTAATGATAAATTTTACCAAGCCAGGTATAAAAAAAATGATCGGCGTTAAAAAGTTGTACGTATTATAAATTGAAACCAACGTTTTTTACTAATAAAAATATTTTATCACATAATAAACTTTATCAAATTACGATTATTATTGAAATATTTGTTATAATCTTTATCAAATTACGATTATTATTGAAATATTTATTACCTTTTGACTCATGAATTTAAGGCGCTTTTGAGAGCGCCCTTAGGCAGATGTAACTTCAGCAACTGAGTTGCAACTTCAGCCGGGCGTCAATTTTAGTCACGACATCGTAATAACGAAAATTTTAAAAGCGAATATATATTCTGTATTTATGGTAATATGCATTTAATTAATAAAAAGATCTTGCGCCGTATTTTATTTAACTAGGCTATAACGATCTTATTTGATCAAACGAAACAAATGGGGTCTTTGCCTTGAGAATTCAATAGTTATTCGATAAACTATTGAATCAATAAAAGTGAAAGATGATTAACATATGAACATGAACCGGTACTCGGGTTTATTTTTGTCCGAATTAACCCGATCGAAAATGTCGGAGGGTGATTTTCAAGGCAAAAACCCCAAATATCAAAAGATAAGAAAATAAGAATATAAAGGTATATTGCTGATATTAAAGTTTTTCTTGAAGAAACTATTTTCAAAAAAAAAAAATAAAAATTTCTTTTCGAAAAAATTTTCTTTGCCAAAAAAACCATTAGTCGATAAAATAAACTCCTCATCTGAACTAATATCACTTGAAGGTATTCGCATCATTTGTAAATGATTTTTTAAAAACAAATTTGTTATTTTCCTAAAAAGAAAAAAATTCATCATTACGATCACTACATTTACTATTTTAATTACTATATTAATTAACTTTGGGCTCAAAATAATATATAATATTATAAACTCAACCTATTAAAATTTATTAAAATTGGACCCGATGTTATATAAGTTTTAAAGCCCAAAGTCGAATTTTCTTTAACGTCACGTTTGCATAAATTTTATATACATTGTATACTATACAATACACGATATATTACTTTATACGCAGTTGTGACAGCCAGCCTAGCGTCACCACCCTAAAAAATTTCGCTGTCGGGCCGAATTAAAAAATCCAAGATCAGGTGTAACATAAAATCAAAACAAAATACCCCAAACACTAACCTTAACGCTGGTAGCGAACTTTTTTTAGGGTGGTGATGCTAGGGTCTTAAGTTTAACAATACACACGTGTTTGCTAATTTATCGTATCATACACCACTACTTTACTAAACCATACACCACAATTATTCGTATTATTCTTTAAAAGTTCCTAATAGAATATATTTTTGGAAAAGTTCGTTATAGAGCAGATTTATTATATTCAGAGTTGTTTAAAGATTTCGCGTTCATGGTTTCAGAGTTAGCATGAATGGAAAATTTGTCTAATGTCCAATGTTTGAATTGTTTGATCAAAAGCAATAGACATTGGATTGGGCAAGCTAAAATGTCGATACAGTAAGTTATACCAATATTTATATTAAATTTTTGAAAAAAATATCGATTTTACTATTATATTGTTGTATCCAGATGTCAGTATAATCAGAGTAATGTGTATTACTATTCAACATGTTGCATTTTTTTAATTTTGACCAGTAAATCAAACTATCAAAAAAAAAGAATACTATATTAGCAAACCAGGCTATTTTATAAAATAGATACTAGTGCATGTATAAACTTATAATAAGTCTTGTAAGTATCCAATAATATAGAAAAATATAAACTGATTATATATATATATATGGGCGACCTGGGTGAGCTCTATAAATTTGGAGAACAATTGGAAATTTAAAACGGCTACGTATAATGGATTCAATAGCTAAAAAGTCTTATTATGTATATATTACGTATAACAGGAATTTTTTCTAGCCCATTTACTAATTTCATTAACCCATGTATATAGGTTTTACTAATAGATATTAAAAAATTTGGCTTCAAATAAGTCTATAATTTAATATTTGTCAAGCTTATTTAGTTATATAACGAATATATGTGCTGTATAACGGAACTTTTAGAACAGCCAAGATTTCCATTATACCGATAGTCAACTGTTATTAATAATTTTTATTTAATCAATTAGATTACATGAATATGAAATTTTAACTAATGAAGGCTTTGGCATGCTAGCAATACTGGTAAATCATGCCAAGTTCTCTACTCACGTGATTGTATCAAAAGATTTCATAAAGTTATTATTTTTATTATTTTATTTGACAAATTGATACGTAGATATTTACTTATCGTCATTTAGCATGACAGAATTAATTCATAACTCGGATTTAAAGCCAAATACCGCGACGTTCATAGGAATAGGAATGAAAGGATTATTACGCCTATAAAGAGGTGGATTATGATATACCATTCCAAGATTCGGAATATGAATATTATGTGGAACGTTATATGGAACGCCATACGCGTTATATGGAACTCTATACGCGTTATGAATGCGTTTATACATGAATGGTACAATGTTATGACCAGGGTGATTATTACTAAATGGACCTGCCATTTCATCTAGTGGTGCGATATTTCTGGGCAATGCTACGGGATTATTCGGATTAACTGGTGCGGCCGATAACGGTACGTGTGTAACGGGAATGTCTGTATTCGTATTAGTAGGGTGTATGTTTTCTGGTAATTGATATGTAGGTTTCTTTGGCGGTACATTAAAATTTGGCGCATTACTTATTGGGTGTGGATTCACTCCAGTTGTTGAAAGAGGAACATCTGCGCTCGGTACGGGCGTCATAGGAGGAGATGGCACCGTAGAAGATGGTAAAGTCTGAGAACATAATTTTAGAGGAAGGGGCACTACTGTTCGCATTATCATGATGAGAAGCATTGTTAAGAATATGATCCGTATGATGTATTTTAGCATGACGACTTATTGAAGAGAATAATTTGGCTTTATGAAAAATCTTTAAAAATATGTGTTAGACTTAACAAAAATAAAACAAAAAATGAGAAAGTTTATACCATCACGTATATATAACAATCAAGTTTAACATATTTAAGCAGATTGATTCTAAAAGTGATCGATACATCATCGCATCTTTGCATCACAAATATCAATATCACAGATGCAAGACACAAAGCGCATTGCAATTTAAGATGTGGTTACTGCTTCATTGATTAATGATTATATGTAAAGTTCAAGAAATTATTTTAACTATTTGGCTTATCATGCGATTGGCACTATTGTTTGAATAATTCTATTGTTTTACGATGCCACCAAAATAACAAGAAATTAGCGGGCATTTAACAAGTCTAATTGGTCAAAATAATATTGTTAGGCATATAACTATTTTAATTAATTTATAGTTAAATTTCTAAAATACAAAATTGGTATTTTTTTTAAGGTAAGGTTTTGCTTTTATTTTTATATTGAGAATCTACTAAAGGTTTTTCTGGCCAGAGTTAATTTTTATAAATTTTTTTATATAAAAATAAGACTTAGACTATAAATAAAAATTATCTAATTTATTTGCAATTTAAATTTATTAGAATAGTTAAACTTATCTGGATTTGTTATATTTAGATAGTTTTAATCTATATTGTATAAGTATTTTATTTTATTTTATTTTAAAATAAGGGTCTGTTTTTAAAAATTTACTAGAGATTTTTTTGGCCTAAACCAATTTTACAAATTTTTATAAATAAAACAGATTATAAATAAAAATTTTATTTAATTTATCTACAGTTTAAAACTACTAAAGTAGTTAAATTTATTTAAATTTGTTATATTTATACAGGTTAAATAAAAATATACTAGATAACTATAAATATTCTAAAAGTTATTAATAGTTAATTAAAAAAGTAATAAAAATAGATATTGCTATTTATATTATTATTTTTGCTATTTATACCACTCTAAATACTAAAATTTTGTTAGTTTTTTGTTTATAATATTTAAAATTTTTAGTCAAAAAATATTTTAATAACTTCTTAACTAAAACTTATAATTAAATAAACAAGTTTATTAAAAAAATAAAATTTTAGTAATTAGCATAGTAGCAAAAATAATGGTGTAAATAGCAATATTTTAAAATAAACTAATATTTATATTTTATATCTGTCTGATATTAATTTTAAGATTTTGTAAAATATTACTATCTTTTAAACCGTCCAAGTTAAGCGGGCAAATTTGCCCGCTAAAATAATTGGAAGAAAAGTAAACGTATGGCAAAATTTTTTTTTTGTTGAAAGACTAACCGAAATTGATTAGAGTAACTCCCAGGAACACAATGCATGTGATAATACAATAGTACGTCATTGCACATGCCATGTGACACAAGCGAAGATCGCAAGCAAAATTTCATGAAATATTTTGCATTTTTGTTAAGGAATATTTATTGGGTCAAAGCTTCTCAATCGCTCTGATAATTCAGCTTTGAATATTACAGACATAGATGAAATATCATCGTATGAAATGTGGGGACTTATTCATAATATTTTTTTTTTTGATTTTTTTTTTGATTTTTTTAATAGTAAATTAATAGTGATTAATAGAGAATCGCTGTACTACTAGCATGCATATTCCTTGTGATATACTACTACCACATGATATAAAATCACAAGTTGATCTGCAAAATGGTATACTTTAATTCTAGCTTATAAAAGGGGTAGAAATGCTTAGGAAAATCTGGCACAATTGTTTAAAAATCAAAAAAAACAAGATTTTAGCGGGCAAATTTGCCCGCTGGACGGTTTAAGGGATAGTGATATATTGCTAACTCTAATCAACCAATTAGAGTACAAGATCAGATATAATATAAAATTGAAGCGATTATAATTTTTTTCACAAATCTTCTATAATATGAAATTTTGTTTATGAAACTATCTCTTGTATTCTAACAAAAAAAATTTATTACTATATTTTGGGTTAGAAATTCTTTGCTAAAACATGCTACCCTAACTCTAACTTAATCTCACTCTAATCCTAAACTGACAAATTAATTTATTGTTTTAATTTCATATTACACCAGATCTATATTTTATCTAATTTAGTTTATATAGGTTTCAGTTCCTGGTTTAATCTTTACAGTAGCTTTGTTGAAGATTTGTGTTACTCTCTACTCAGAACTTGCCAAGCAGGCTTCTATATTCACAGTTCTCCAAATTTATACAACCCAAAGTATATCATGTAATATTACTATTATACAAATATCTCAAACCTTCTAGTCTTGCTGGTATAACCATAGTTACAGATATCTTATTCCAACTGATCGACCAAATACAGTTAACTGTAATATAAGCAGAATTTTTAAATTTTTGTCACCAATAGGATTCAAACTCTTGACCTGTTACTTGGGAGTGACAACTTGACCACTTCACTATATTGTCATATTCTATATATAATATATTATAAATGAATTCAAATTTATCAAACTATAACAAAAACTTTTTAACTCTTTTCTTGCTATTTACTTTAGATTTTACTAAGTAAATCTTAATTTTCATTTAAGCCAAATTTGTTTTACTTATTAAGATAAATATTTTAATATATAATATATTATAAACAAACCAAAATTAACAGTTTTATATTAAAAAAATCTCAAACTTCTTTACTAGAAAACTTATTTCTAGTTTTAAAAATTTACTAGCAATTTTCTGAAATCCTATTGGCTTGTTTCAGAAATTTTACTTTTTTGTACTTATTAAAATTTTTTAAAACCTAACAAATTTTAAAATTTCATTCACTAAATTTAAAAAACTTACTAAATATTTCTGAAAACTTATTGGCCTTTATAAAATTTTACTATATACATCAGCAAATTTAATGAGATGAAATATTTCGAAATAATTTACGAAATGTAAAAAAAGTGTAATATTGCATAAACTATTTCGAATTAATGCGAAATATCAAAATTACGTAAACTTACGTAAAAAAATTCGAAATAATTCGAAATAAATTACGAAATATTATGTGAGAATAATTTTGAAATATTTCGAAAAATGTTAAAATATTTAAAATATTTAAAATAAAATAAAATAAGAATATAAAAGTTTAAATTAT